TGTATTACCCGGCCCGACCCGTAGTTCCGGTACCCGTGTGCCCACCCCTAGTTGAAAGGGTGACTATAATATGCTTGCTGATTCTCCGGTATATGATGTAACTAGTTTTTTTTACGCGCGATGCGCAATTGAGTTGATGCCCAATATTATACATGTAATGTAAATACTAACATATTTTCTAGATTGGACTTTTTGACAGTTTAATCCGTTGAATTATGTACACATGCACTTTGGAACATTTAAAAGTAAATTTAGGTATCATACTTTGAAACATGGTTGGATTGACTGATTATTTTTATTTATGAAAAAAATTATATTTAAAATATTATTTAACAATAGAATAAAGAAAAAATTATTTGAAAATATAGCTTCAATGATGATTGACAGTAACATTAGCCAATTTAGCCATAAAAGTAACTACAACCTTACTTTTTCTTATTATTACACAATTCAACACGTAAAATATAAAATGTTACAAGCCCATTTGGGGACCATGCTGATTGGGCCCATCATCTATTTTTTTCAACAAACACGTAATTTTTGATTTCGTGTGCTGAAATGTGTAATAATAAGAAAAAGTAAAGTTGGAGTTAATTTTTTGTTGTATTGGCTGAATTTGTCAATTTACTGTAGAGGATCATTTACGATATTTTTCATATAATTTTTTTTATCTATTTTATTAATAAAAAATATTTTAATTTTTTTCCCCATAAATCAGCAGAAATAGCCAGTAGAGCCACTTCAGCTAGAAGCCTAGAATCTCTTAAATTTCAGCAGAATAAGTCAATTCAGCCAATTTCAATGTTACCAAGCGGACTCTTTATGAAAAAACTGGTTGATAAGTTTGATAAGTCGAAAAACACGACCAACAGACTCTTATACTCTTTAAGAAAGTACGTAGCATCATCTTTTCGATCTGTACCTAAGTTTAGAAAATGCTCGTTGGATTGATAATGAGAAGATTTTATATTTAAACTATATTGAACCAATATCATCCATTAATTAAGAACTTGTTTTTTTTTTATGATTTAAGAACTTGGTTTTAAAAAACGAATTAAAAATTAATAAAAGGTATGGGTCAATATTCCATATAAAGCCTTGCGTAGAAAATGAAAATATCCTAACCTATACCCGTCAGAGTTTAGACTGGATCATTAGCCACTCTTTTATTTAAACTTTAATAAGGAGTATAAAGCGAGATAACCAAAGAAGCCGATGAGTTTTACGGAGTGTAGCCGGCAAGTTATAGTTAAGTAACGGAACGTTGGGATATTTCTGGTAAAAAAAAGAGTTAAATTTATTAGAGTACAATAGTTTATGCATATGTTTCAAGTTCATTTTAGCATGTGGTTACACCAACACATTTTTTAAATCCAAAATAACCTTACCTTCATTCACCGTTATAATTTTTTAGATATTGAGAGAATAGTGGCAACATTCACCGTTATAATTTTTTAGATATTGAGAGAATAGTGGCAAGACTGGCAACATCCACTGTGCTTTGTACACCATCAGGAAGAATAATACATCAAAACACCCCATAAAAAATTTACACACAATGCTTGCATATGTATTAGAGAGGCTGAAGTTCATGGGAAGTACAAATTTACGGGCACCGTATCACCGATAGAGATGGCAATTTCGACCGACCCGTTGGATATCCGCACCTAACCGATTTGGTCAAACTGGGGAAAACCGGTTTGACTGGGGAATGGGTACGGGGCGGGGAATACCCGAATTTTTTAAATGGTTAATGGTGCGGTTATGGTTCTATAGGGGGTGTTTGGAACTGATTCTGCTTCTGCTTCTTTTTTAAAAGCAGAAGCAGAATCAGAATCAGTTTTCAGAAGCTGGTACCCTCCAGCTTCTAAAAAAACTGATTCTGAGAGTAAATTAGAGCTCCAGAAGTGCTTCTGGAATTTCACCCAAACACTCCAGCTTCTGCTTCTGCTTCTGCTCCTTGAAAGAGCAGAAGCAGTTTTGAGAATCAGATCCAAACACCCCCATACTAATCCACCCCGTTATCCGCCCCGAAACCGCCTCGTTCACTAGTGGTGCGGGTACCCGCACCGTTACCCGATCGATAACATTATTAATAAATTATAACTTCTAAAAGCTTATAAGCATGAATGATGGTGAGACTAATTTGGGTATCAAAAAAATGTTCGTCGCATGTTTTTGCTTTGTCAACGTGTACCGACAGCTTAAATCATTGTATTCTCCTTCCTTAGTTTATCTCCGTGAAACAAGCGTCTCCGTCCTACCGTGAGTAGAATCTCGCCAACTTAATTCACTTCCGACTCTCCATTTCTCAAACGTTTCTCCATTCAGCCCAGTAGATAGGTTGGAATGTTGGATTAGCCGATGTTCCTCTCTACATAGCCAATGTTCCATAAGTCGAAGCGTTATTTTCTCTGCGTGCAAAGATTTCAGAAATGTATCTTACTTATTAGGGGTTTTAGTCTCTCAATCTACCTTACTCATTGCTGTGAAACCCTTTAAAGTACTCTAAAATCCCACAAGGAAAAGCAACCAGATCGTAATTTGTAGAAAGTCTTTGATGTCTTAGTTGCTTGGAAGAAAGAAAACGAAATGGGTTATTTGGAAAGGCTTGAGAACTTCACTCTTGGGATTTCCCTGCCACTAGGTAAGGAGATGAGGAATGCTTCGATGCTTCTCTTTTCCTACTAAAAATTTGCTAGCTTTCGTTTTTTTAAGACTTTTATTCAAAGTTGGTCCCATACATTCTTGTTTGATTGCTCACTAACTCACTACGCCTACTCATTGGGTTGCTTTGTGAAGCCTTTGATTTTGAAGGGGAGACAGAATGATTTCAAGGGGAGGCAGAATTTCAATCGACTGTGATGTCACAGGTTAGCTTCTTCTTCCTTCTACTGATGGGAGCAGTGGATTATGTATTTCATATTAAAAATGGTTGCATTAGGAGGGGGAAATAGTGTTCACTAAGTGTTCGTAAATTTGCTTCAATGACATTCATTGCTATTTATCTGAGACTTTATGCCATTTTGTTTACTTATACCTCACAATACATACAAAAAATATCTTAGCTTTCTCTGGGAAGACATTTAAAAATGTACTCCGTATTTAACTACCAGTACAAAGCCATACAGATAATAGCGGATAGAGGGAGGAGCTAAAGGCCTCTTCTATTTCAATACAAATATAAAATTATATTCTGTATGTAGTATTTGACTAAGGCATAAAATAGATTATTTAAATCGTACAAATATATAATTATATTTAATTGGGGCATAAAATAGTGCTGAAACAAAATGGAAAACCAAATAGGCATAACATAGTAATATACTTGATTCAAGCATTCATTCTCAGATTCACTAATATCCTTTTCTTCCTCACCATTTTTGTTAGTGTTAGATTCTTATTTCAAAATTTTGATTAATAAATCCATTTGATTTTCCTTTTTGATTGATAGAATTGCTTCATCCCGTGAAATGTGCTCTGAGTGTCGCTTCAAGTAAGGCTTGATCATTCTGTTAAAAGCTAAGTTCTCTTGATCAAGCCTCATTTCAGATCCATGAATTTGTGAATGAGTGTTATTAACTTAAATGTGGATACTAATTTTACTTATTATTATATAGTTTACTCTCTTTTGTTGGTTGCAGAATATTTATGAGTTGTCTATGTTGCATGATCGTTGTACTTGACTTCCTTTTCCAGTATTACCATCAGGATTTATATGCTCAAGAGCCATTCAAAATTACAATTGAAAATATCATGCATTTTTTTATGAATTACTTTGAGTAAAATATTATTTCATATTTATAATCATCTTCCTTCAGCTCTTATCCACTACTTTAGTGCTATTAACACGCCCACCTAGACACATATCTCCTTATTATATATCTAAAGTGTTAACTGTCCAGTGCTAAATAATTGGTCCTGTTTGGTGTCAAGTGAAAAAACAGCCATGGATGTATCCCTTTAAGTTTATGTGAGAACATGGGTCTTATCAAACTCATTAGTCCCGACCAATTTGGGAATGAGTGTCATTTGGTAGGAAGCAGCTCTGCGGCTATGGGACTGAGTTATCCGGTGTGATACTTTGATGGCAATAAGCGTTTATTCATTTAACACGGGGGCGGTGAATTACTATTGCTTTATTCCCTTACTTTTAACATTATTATTTTTTATTCTTAAACGCTTATTGTATGTTATAAACAAACAATCATTGGTTTTTTATTTTTCCGTTTCTTCCTTGAAACAAGAAACGTGTTAATGGTGGTAAATACTATCCCATCAAAATTACATTTTCTTAAAATATTTTCATCAAAGCAAAAATTGAAAACAAAAACTCATGATGCAGGTAACTTTGTGTAGCCTTGTGTCTTTTCTTCACTAATGTTTCACTAATTTTTTTTGTTATATTTAATTTCAAAGTGAGGCATATAATGGTGCATTCCACATACAAGATTGGGCATTTGTCTCATCGCGCAACGCGCGTTTAAAACTAGTTTTATATATAAGAATAATAACTATATATGCTAAATTGTGTATAATAAATAGTATATATCATATAAATAATGCTAAAAAGTATACTACTTTTTTAGGCCTAAAACTAAATATAGGCCTAAACCTATTTTTTAAATTTGGATTCTGGGATGATTACTACTTTTTTATTATGTTACAAGAGATATTGGGTGCATGTCATACTAATGAATTTAGGTCAGTCTGCTTGATTGCTTAAATGTTTATTTTTGTATGTTTTAGGATGCTTTGAATATATAAATAACAAGTAAGATTAAAATTTGGTTAGTTGTTTTCCCAAAAAAAGTTGGTTATTTGGTATCATTTGGGGAAACGGTTACCCGTGGATAAACCGATTCCCCGTTAGGGCGGGTACGATTCAAATAAAAGTTACCTGAATGAGTAATGATGCGGTTTTGGGGTAAACATTTATCGGCCGTTCAGGTTTTATGTGTACCCGTCCCAATCCTCCCCGTTGCATCACTAATCACCCATTGTAAGATATACGGACTCCCAAGGCCTCGCTCCCCCGCACCAGCTCTAAGAATCCAGCCCGCTGCCACCAGTAGAAGCATCAACATTCACCCTCTTCCGCCCGCTAGTGGGTCGCCTCCTGTGCAAAAGCTTTCGCCTTATACATGAATTGAGCTGGCTCAAGCGATTCCCCTTGCCAAATTCTCTGATTTCGCTCTGTCCAAAGACCCCAAACTACTCCCAGCAAATCATCCCCTTTCTTGGCCAAAAAAAACCACTGCAGCAAATCCCAAAAGCTGCTTTCTGTCTGGCCTAGCGGCTGCCAACCTATAGAAGACCACGCTTGCATTGCGACCGGGCAAAAACGACACATCTCCGCACACTGAACTCTTCTCTGCCGCAAAGAAGCAGTCGTTGGGAGGCATCCGGTGCAAATTTGCCAGAAAAGTGGGGTAGTTTCCATTTCCACATGTCCTTCCAGACCGCCCACTCGCTAGTCTCCAATTATCCTGCTAATTAAATTTAGGTAACAGCTCCGGACCGAAAACCTGCCAGGTGATCGAATAGGTGGAGCAGGTGATCAGTTGGATGTATATGCATCCATACCTTGTCTGACCCATCATCTTATTCATTTGTTATGCGATTATCATTCGATTTTTTTTCGAGATTTCGTTCATATATTTGGATTGAATCGCATGGATATCTATAGATACAGGTGAACACTGAAGTGAACCCGCATTGCATTGTTTAGTAGGCCTCATGAAATTCCTACTGCCAAGTGTAGCTCGCAAGATAGGGAGTGCAATCAAGAATATAGCAGAGAACAAAAGCTCGAGCTGGTGGTACACCCCTCACGCCGCCGCCGCGGCTCATGCCATTGCAGAGAGGATACCGCTAGTGGATTTCGTTCTTGAAGTCCGGGATGCTAGGGTATGTATTATAGGCTTCGAGCTTCCCTTTGTTTTCCAGGATTACTGTCAAGTGCTAGATGAAATGTTTGAATGAACTGACATGGTTAGATGCTGACAGTTTTGGTTATAAAGTTCATTTATACCAACCAATTCATGCACTGAATTCAGGTCATATAAGGACAAGTTCCTTACAATCTCTGATATTTTAGTGCATTTTCTCCTACTGCTCAGATCCCTTTGTCATCAAAATTCAAACTACTGAAAAAGCATTCAACTTCCACCAGGCGAATTATAGTTTTGAACAAAACAGATCTTGCAAGTCCCTCACAGGTGAAGGTATTTTTAATAATTACTACGTATATATTACACGTGTGTTCTAGAGCCAATTTGGTAACTCATATTCTCATTTTATCAGCTTCATTGCTCAACATTTTGATTACATAAGTAACTTTTGATTTCGCATGTTGAATTGAGGAAAAATTAAAATAAGTTTTTTGACTGAAGTTATTGTGATGACCATTTAGCCATTTTCATATAATCTTTCCCTTCATTTTAATATGAAATACGGAGTAATATTTAGTAGCATAATTTTTTTTGGTTAATTTTATGTCACACTCAATGTCCTTAATGGTAGCTGGTACTTTATGTGAATGGTGGTTTACGTTGTAAGTTGGAAGCTTAATTTCAATGTCTTAATTTCACTACTAGGTTGAAAATCATCTTAATATTACTAGTTTAATTTTAGTAGTTACATTGTAGTGTTTGAAAATGTCTTAATTTTAGTAGTTACGTTGTTAAGCTGTGAGGCTTCTCAACCCTTTAGTACGTTACATATTTCCCACACCGGAGAAATTGAAGAACCCGTCCTTCCACATTGTCTATATAAGGCTCCTCTTGATTGTTACAGAGTATATTCATGGCTTACTATTCATGCTTCAGCTTGTGTGGGCCTAATCAAACCGGTCTATCTCTCCTGCATGGCGAATATGAATTGGGCCGCCTTTTAGCGCGCCTAGTAGGTATGCAAGGTGTTTTCAATACGCCTTGCGCCTAGGTACACCGTGGTGGCGCCCAGGGGCGGAGCCAGACTTGAGTGCAAGAGGGGACAAAATATAATACAATCATAAAAATATAATCTAATATGGACAAAAAGTACCGGAAAATATGCTGCCGGCATCGAATTTTCTGTCATAAATTTTACTTTCTAGTGGACAAGTTCTAAAATGGCATAGTTATATTAGTTACAAGACCAAAATTACAAGAGAGTAAAGTTGCCCGACTAGTAACGATCATAGTCAAAAGTTACAAGATTAAAAATGCAAATCTTTCTATAAAATATAATTACATTGTACCAATATAAAATGATACGCCAATACTAATGATCATGTATAATATTCAAATTACAAATTAACTGCAGGTCAATTAAAACTCAGTTTGTTAATTTTTCACATGATTTATATAATTGTTAATAATTTCATATTAGTAATAAATTCCATTATAGGTTTGGCTTTTATATCAAGTAATTAATACTTACTACTCCATATAATATTAATTGATAACAACAAGTATTAGTAGTATTTGATATCTAGTCTTTCACAATTTTATTTGGAGGGGGGCCAAACAATATTATAATAATGGTACTTAGAAAAAAAAAATAAAGAAATGGGGGGGGGGGGGGGGCATGGCCCCTTTAGCCCAACAAGTACCTCCGTCCCTGGCGGCGCCTTTAGGCGCCTTTTAGAACATTGCCTAAAGGATCTTTTGCATCGAACTGTTTATTATTTATTTATTTATCTATCTATTATTTATTTATTTATTTATTTATTATTTATTTATATATTTATTTATTCATTTATTCATTTATTCATTTATTTATTTATTTATTTATTTATTTATTTATTTATTTATTTATTTATTTATTTATTTTCTGTTTCAGAAATTTCATTTCTTTTTATTTTGAGCTGATGTACAGTTTTCTGCTGACTGCTCTCATCGCGTTTATGCAGCAATGGATGGATTATTTTGAAGGACAGGATGATATAGCATTTCGAGTCAATTCTCATAATAGAGATAGTATAAAGGAGGTGCATAGTGATAAGTGACCACTGACCAGAGAGCCATTTCCCGAAACACTATAAACTAATGGGCACTAATATTACTGTATTGCCTACATTTTGACAGTTCTTGACATTTCTGCAAGCTAGAGTAAGAGAGCTCATAAATACCGGCTATTCTCGACATACTATAACACTAATGCTTGTTGGTATTCCTAATGTTGGGAAATCTGCACTTGCGAACTCATTGCATCTGGTTGGGCGAATTAGTGCCGCAGGTACACCTCCTTTTTGAGATATCTTGCTAAAAAATAACCCCTTATGACTTTCTAACACATATATTATGTTGATTGGAAGAGAAGGGAAGACTAAAACATGCTGCGGTAACTCCTCAGCCTGGGGAGACTAAAAACATTAGCAGTTTTAAGGTGCTTGATCTTTCCCATTCTTTTGTCTAAATGAATGATTTATTTATTTATAAGATTCATTCATCAATTTCATATTCCTAGATATCTATTGAACTGATTGGAAGTGGATGGAGTTTCATATTTTCTCCTCATTTAGCTTCCATTTATGTGACGTTGCTAAAAATTCTTGGGTCCAACTTCTTTTAATTAGTTACCTACTTAATTTTAACTAGTCATTTCTTTCTTCGATCACTCCTTGACAAGCAAGTTCATGTTGATGTGTTAAATGAGATTGCTAGCCATCCTAATATTTATGTGCTGGACACGCCGGGTATTTTGCCACCTCATATCCCTGATGCTGAGCTCTGCTGCAAACTAGCTCTTACAGGTGCCCATTTTTTTATTTTTTGAAAATGTTTTTTTTTTTACTTCTACTATGATAACATAAATATTGTTGTTTCCATAACAAAAGAGAAGGTAAAAGCATAAGTTAAAAAATATGTGTACTTAGCAGGGGGGCATCCTAGTTAAATTGATGAAAGGCAGTGAATATTCTTTCCATTGCAGTAACTAGTCTCTCCATGGTAGTGACCAGTTTTCAATCAATTTCTCAGATTGGGGGTTCTCTTTCAGGTGCAATCCAAGAATGTTTAGATGGTGAAGTAGAGCTTGCTCAGTATTTTTTAGCAATCCTTAACACAAGTGATGAATTCAAGAAATGGGCAACATTGGGTGGCATTGAGAAAGACATGTTAGTTGTAACTGCTACTGATGACGAATTTGACTTGCAGAAAACACAGAAAATGAAGCATTGTGTGACAGATCACACGCAGGTATGGTATCATTTTAGCTACTAATCCTTAGGAGGTGTTTGGTCAGGTTTTCCTGGATAACCTTAACGTCTTGGAAGGTAATTTAATCTAAAAAGAGAAGAATGTGAATGTAAGATTGCCCTATGTTTTCTGTTGAAGGTTATGCCTTCGAGTATCTAATAATATACTTAAACAATTATGACTATTAAGAATATACAACACAGATACAGACGCACACAATTTAGTTATTTATTTATTTAACTAATGAAATGTTTGTACATTTATTTATATATTATTTTTTAAATAATATTTATATTTATTTTATACTCATATAATTAAATTAGAAGTTTTTAAACTACGATAGAATTAATATTGGTAGGAAATCTGGAAATCTGGAAATTGATTGAATTTAACAGATATTTCTTACACTAGAAGGGTCAAGAGCAGCTCGGTGCACATTGGTGTCCCCGTAAGGGGTAAGGATCCGATGAAGGGTCTCACCACTAGAATCGAGTAATTGTGAATGGACAGAGCCAGGTGAGGAACAAGCCTTCTCTTGTCACTTTGTCAAGACTCAAGAGGCTCTCTCATGACTTGAACCCGTGACTTCTGACTTGTGAGTCACACAGCAACACCGTAACCTAGGAAAATGATGTTATCACGTTAGTACATTACAGTGAAAATAACCTGCTGAAACGGGGAAATGTGAGATTACGGTGTTTATAACCTAACTTGAACCCAACTAGGATATATGACATCATCAATAACTAGGTTATATGATATAAGGGGTACTCTAAGAGTCAAAGTAGAATATTTATTATGTGACCAATGGAGTACTATATGAGGGTTGTTTTGTCCAATCCCCCGTTCTCCTAACAATTTATCTTGCACTTGTTTTGTAAAGGGGAAAGATGCAAATTAAATACGAAGTATAAATTTGACCTTTAGCTCCATGTGTATATATGTCCCTAATCTTTTGAAAAATTGAAAGGTACAAAAATGTCCCTAAAGTTCATGTTTATGTTTGGGAGCAAATTTACCCTTATGAATTTTAAATAAATAAAAATATATACTCCCTCTGGTTTTTAATAAACTTCACACTTTCCTTTTTGGGACGGTCTAAAATAAACTTCACACTTCTTTATTTCCTTTTTTGGCAAAGAAATCAACATCAAAACAGTGTCAAACAGTGCCAAACAGTATCAAACAGTGTCTCAACAGTGCCAAACAGTGTCTCAACAGTGCCAAACAGTGTCAAACAGTGCCTCAACAGTGTACTCTACAGTAAAGTCAAATTTCTTTCCTTATTTTGTGTGAAGTCAAAGTGTGAAGATTAAATAAAACCGGAGGGAGTATTTAATATGTCAAGAAAAATAATAAATATATTGAGTTTGGAGATTGTAAAATGAAAAAAAGTCCATTGTGTGTTCAATGCTTCCTTTTCATATTTTTATATCAATTTAATATTGTTAACATAAAAGAAATATTTTGTTTGTGAATATATCTGTGTAAGAACCGGACCGGAGAGCGACCCGGACAAATGATCGGGTCACGGGTCAACCCGGACCCGGCGGGTCAGCCCGGTTAACGACTGGTAAACCTGGTCAACAACATTACATATAATTAATTAATTATTTTATAGATTAAATTCATTATTAGAAAATTATATTCATTCATGATAATTTAATAATGATAGTACAATATAATTAATGTAAAAAGAATTAGTGTATTTAAGTATATTGATTTTTTCTAAATTTAAAATACATTGAGACCTAGATGGATACTAAATATACACATATTACCAACTACAAAATTAAAAAAAAATGTTGGAACATTTTAAACATAATTAGGAAATATAATAATAGCATTGATGTGTATTTATTACGTATTAGTATTTTTGTTATAAATTAATTAGTTAATAAACTAATTATTAAATACTAATAAAAATATCCAGCCTAATAATGTATAAGTATTGCTAAACAACAAAAGTAACCAACAAAGATGCCGTAGCACATTGGTTAGCAGTGGGCGTGAGGTCGAATCCCGTTGGCACCGTATTGTCCGGGTTTTTAGTATTTTCCGGGTGTGAGACGGGTCGGGTCCGTCCCGGGTTATGGCGGGTCACCGGGTAATTCTGAGTTTTGGCCAGATTGCGGTTTAATTCTCAACCGGACCAGACAGATGGCCGGGTGACCGGTTTCCGGGTCGAACCGTCCGGTCTGGTTCTTTAAAAGATTTTGTGTTCAATGCTTCCTTATTAAGATTTATACTCCGTATCAAAATTTAATATTATTAAGATAAAAGAAAACATTTAGCACAAAATGTTTTTTAAATTTTAAAAGTTTCTTAACACATTTTTTTTTTAAATCAATTCAAAAACCATAATTATTTGTTAAATTTTTAAGGATATTGTTGGTACAGCCTCCTAGGGCAGCCGCCTCTAGGCTTTTTTTTTCCGAATTCGATCATATTGATCGAAGTTCGGCTGTTCTTGTTTGCATATCTGGCCGCGGAGCAGTGGTCTGCTTTTGGTTAAGGTAGAGCGATCACGAGTTTTTCTCTCTAGGGCTTTGACTATGTCGGCCGTTGGAGTCTTTTTCCGATTTCGACTTTATCGAAGATCGGCTTTGTTATCCCTTGGTCGCTGGTGCTCGAATGGAGTCCAGGTCAGACGCGGAGGGCGGAGATCAGTGGAGGAGGGCAGATTTGTTGTCATGGCTCGAGGAGATCGGCGTTGTGGTCAAGGTTCGAGGATGCGGCGTTGGTGTCGTCGTTGGAGAAGATCGGCGCCGCCTGTCTGCTTACTCTGGTCGCACGGAGCAGGGATGAGTTTGGTTATGCAGGGATGGAGGATTGATGCATGGTCTTTGGCAGTCAAAGGTCATGGAGGATCAATTAGCATGGTACCAGTGGTACGACCTCCTCCTGAACCACCACCCTGGGATGCACGAGGTGCTAGAGTTCGTGAACGTTTTTCTGGTAGTTTTTATCTGTTTGTTATTTGTTTTCTTGCGTCTATTTTTGTTGTTGGGTTTGACAGTTTGTTTGAGTTTTTTTGCCTCTCTTTATGTCATTGGGTATGGTTGGATCTATGAGAATAGTTTTGGCTGTGTCAAGCCCACTACATGGTTAGCGATTCGTGTTGCTCTCTCAGGGGTGACCGTCTCAAAGTCTCACCATAGGGTTACAGTCGTAGTTGTTGGAGTTTCAGTTGGTGTCTGTTTTATTTTCCCTTTGCTTGATGTAATGATCCTGATGAATCTTTTGATATGAATAGAGACATGTTTTGATGATAAAAAAAGGGAAAATATAAACTAATAATCCAACCTTTTAGCGATCTTCTTACAATAGTCTCACCTTTTGATTATACATGAATAATCCAACCTTTGCACCTCATCTTCATTCACTGGTCCCTGACCGGTTCATGACCTGTTATTCCAAGTTATTTTCTTATCTTTGCAAACCGTTATACCATAAATCTCACCTTTCACAAAGATAATATTTTGCAAAGATAAGAAAATAACTTGGAACAGCAGGTCATGAACCAGTCAGGGACCAGTGGATGAAGATGAGTTGCAAAGGTTGGATTATTCATGAATAATCAAAAGGTGGGACTATTGTAAGAAGACCGCTAAAAGGTTGGATTATTAGTTTCCATTTCCCCTATAAAAAAAAAGGATATTGTTGGTACATTTTTAAACCTTAGGGGCATACCTGCACTTGAAGGTAAACACGAAGGGTATATTCGTACCTTTTTTAAATGACAAATGAAATATGACTTTAGAAAGAGGAAGTTGAATTTAGACATATTTTCAACTCATTTTGCCTTCAAATGAATTGCAATGAGTGTCTGTGCCTTATGAAATTCCTCATCAAGCTTTCTAAATCACCCTCTATTCCTTGCCTTACCCTGACAGCTTGAAATGATATATGATGACCATTTCTGCAGGATTTTATTGTGAACAATGTTAGGAAAACGCTTTATCATTGCATTTCGTCATTCAGTGGAAACCTCGATGAAGAAAACAGCTTGTTACATCTCATCGAAGTTGAGTATGCAAATCTGGCGGAAGCTTTCCATTTGTCCTCAGAATCAGTAGATGATTTACACAAGGTTGCTTCTAAATTACTCAATTTATACCGGACAGGAAGGCTTGGTCATTATTCCTTAGACTCTGTTCCAAGCAAAAACTGGTAGCCGCAGTGAACATGGAGGTGCGACAGCTGGCTGTATCGGTGCGGCAGTGGTTGATTTACAAATTACAATTGCTATTTTTATGTTTTTAGAAATATGTAAGTAAAACTAAATTTTTATGTATTTTGCATGTAATAAGTTTAACTAATAGTGGCAAGACCATGGCTAAATGAAAGTATGAAATAGTTACATACATAAAAGTAGCAATTATGTGTCATGGCCCAAATATCATTACTACATACTATCCTATTATGTAATGAAACGTTAGTATACTTTTAGTGGGGTACTGTGTACTTGGAAAGTTGGAAGCTTACAGCCTATACGATAAGCATGTGAATGGGCCGGGTGTATCAAACCATTTTTCGCCTATAAACTCCCTAAAAAGAGGGGGGCGGGGCGGGGTAATTTGTTTGTACCTGATTGTGATAGCTCTCTCGATAGATACCTTATTGTAGCTTTCTAACTAGTGGAAAACACCTTCTGGTTATGGTGGGAAATCGAATAGAGAATCATCACACTTAAGGATGGATCTGGATCGGTTCGGTCCTGGTTCCGAGCCGAGACCAGCCAGTCCAAAAAAATGATGAGTCTAGTACACTATTACTACTTACTAGCATATAAAAGAAAATAGTAACACTAGATATAGGCTTGAACGTGAGTTCAAGCAAACTAATCTATTGGATGAGACTCTTGCAAAATGGATAGTGAGTTAGTGATTCTTGTGTATGAGTGTGGCTCATTTTGGTTATTCAAACTCAACTGAAACTGATCTCCACAGAAATATGGATCCAACCTCGTGTCGAACACATTCTACGGTTTGGACGGGCTGCATTCAGACGATGGAGATGAAGTGAACTCTGGACCGGCGCAGGAAGAAGGACGAGAAAGCGACGACGGTGGTGGGGAAGACAACATCAACGAACGGAGTTCATAAGGACACTGATATCTGAACCCTTACTCCTTATGTCTTTAATGTTGTATACTTGTATGGACTTATGATGATTAAGGGGGTGTTGTCTTAGCCTTGCATGACGATTGAACAGTTTGACTTGTTGTTTGACTAATGATGATTTAAGGGTTTTGATTCACCTATGATGGGTGTTTGTGTTTAGGAATAAATCCCTCTTCGCTTAATGAATGTACGCTGTGTTTGCTTAAGATGGATATATGCGTATGGTTAGCCTAGGATATGTAACCCGGATCATGATTATCTGTGTTTGCCGATGTCGAAATACATGTTATGAAAATGTGATCACTCTGTATTGATTATGAGGTGTGTTAGCCTAGGATATGTAACCAGTGCTCATGATTATCTGTGTTTGCCTATGCTAAGTCACATGTGATGAATCTGTAATGATTATGAGGTGTGGTCTCCTAACATATGTATCATGTGGTCCTCTCTATGTGTGTTTGCTTATGCTAAGTGAACTGTGATGAAAATGTGTTGACTCTGTATTCTTCTGAGGTCTGGTTACCTGGGATGTCATGCCCAAGACTGCATCCAAGCGCGTGTCCAACCACCGCACAATCAAGTGACGTCACATGCAAGTCAACCTCACTTAATTATACAAGGCATCCATGAACATAGTTCATACCATACTCAGATAGCAGCCCTTGTCTTTGTAACTTGTCTTTCCCCACCCATCAGGGGAGATCTGGACACTTTTTTGGTAGCAGCCCTTGTCTTTGTAACTTGTCTTTCCCCACACGTTTGAGCTTGAAAGTGTTGCCTCCTTTGTGCTTTAAGATTTCTTCTGTTACAAATAGATAGCTAAAAAAGACATGGTTCAATGTTTGAGGTGTGAGCTCCCTCCTCATATGAGGCTTGCGCTGCTTGTATTATATCAATGATGTTTTTTGGGACCTTTGGATCATTTATGGAGTCAATAGACCTATAGAAACTTGAGTCTATCTAGTACTTGGATATTCCATCATTCTTTTGATCCTGGTTTAAAAAAGTCTGCATCATGTATTTCAATATGAGGCCTGACATTATTTTGTTGTATGACCACTTGTCTGTATTTTGAGTGTGGTCACTTGACTTTGATTGATGGCAGTAGGGTGTTGAGTATCATTTCTTTCATTACTTGCCTAGTGACACTCAATGTTGGTTTGGTTTCTAAAGTCCCAGCAACCCTATTTTTGCTTGATATCTTGGCTTTGCCTTCATTTGTGAATGGAAATATCCCTATTTTCCTATCCCACTCCACATGCCTACTATCAGCAATCCTAGGTTTCCCAACTGCAGCCAGGAACATGATTTTGGGAATAAATTTCTTTGATTGAGCTGTTCTCAAGGATCTTCTGTGGGAAGGGTGTAAAAAACTGTGGTAGTTTCTTTTGATAAATAATAAAACCACTTTTCATCTTTATGAACAAAATCATGAAAATGATGAAATGTTTGTGTTGTATGCATTGATTGAGAAATTATTTGACTTAAGCAAAATGTAACATTTTTAATTTGCTTGCTTCCGTTAGAAGTGGTTTGATTGCACTTGAATGTCTTCTTATCTGCTTACTCTTGTACCACCTTTGCAAAGATGTTTTAGAAACTTCCATTGCATATGCAAGTGCTCTCTGATTCTTCCTCTTATGTAAGAGAATCTGGGAAATCTTTTGCATTTCAAAACTTACACTTTTTCTTCCAACATTCCACTTCATCCTGCTTTCGACATGTATGGCATGTCCTTTAGAGCCGTCAAGATGGACCGAAACCCACGGTCCAGCCCGTTTCAACTCATTTATTGGTGGGTTAGGGTTGTCATTTTCTAACCTGATTCATTAGCGGGTTTCATGAGTCAACCCACGCGGGCCGGGCTGCGGGTTAAGTGGGTTGGCCCGCACGAGTTGCGGGTTGACCCACAGACCAAAATGAAAACATATAGTTTTGACTATCATTATCTTCAATATTGTTCTTTGACTATCAAAATTATTATAATTACAATTTTTATTGAAAGGATTATAATTACAATTATATACTTATCATTTTACAACCATTGGAAAATAATTATATATGTAGTATTATTTCTATAATAACTGGTCAAATAAAATCTAGAATAGCTATTCAAATAAATTGTTTAAACATATATTTTAAGTAAAGTTGAATATAATATTCAAATAATATTAGTTCTAATATACAAATAATCACTAAAACGATTTAAGTAGATCTTTACTTTTCATTTGTAAAATGAGCATTTTAATATTCTTTAACTAACCTAACAAGTATTTTGATATATTATATTTCCTTTAGTACCACCTACCAATCTAAATATATATATTTTAACAATATTGGTGTTTACTATTGGTAATTATTTTAAAAGTATTTTGTCATGTATATTTCTATACATTGGCTCGTGGGGCGTCCCGTTTAACCCGCGGGTTAGGTGGGTTGGGTTAGGGTTGTAAAAGCTCTAACCCGTCACTAAACGGGTTGGCCGGACCCAACCAACGTAAAGCATAACCCGTCACGGGTCCGATCGGATTGGGTCGGGTTGGCCCGTTTGACAGCTCTAATCTCCTCTGCGTCTCTTGCTTTGCTTTGGCGGTTTGGCCCATATGATATGAATCGTTCGGGTTGAAACATTAAACCGGGTGACTAATTTTGTTATCACACCCCTATGAAGTTTACCTTCACCAGCCTGACCAATAACATGTCAATTAGCTTGCTGCAATTTTGAGAGGTCAACTTAGGCCTTTTTTGTTTCTTGGTTGAGATTGAGATTTCAGTTGCTACATGCTCAGTTAAGTCAATTATTCCTATGACTATTTGTGTGTTTTGGGTTGCTAGTACATGCTCAAAATCTTCTTTTTCAAGTGGGTCTGCATTTAGATTTAAATGGCCTGTTGGTTGGGCAGAAATATCTATGCGAGAAGACTCCAATAAAAAGGGAAGAAAGTAGATGAAGATTTCTCAGTTTTATTTAAAGTAATTAATTGGAATTTGAAATGTGTGTAATGAATGCTCTTGTATTTATAGCTAGAAGAATTGTAACTCTAAGGTCATGTTTGGTTTGAGGTCAGTGGCGGACTTACATTATAATCAGGGTGTGCACAAGCTATACCTCAAATATATTCATTAGCCTAGATGGGATGAAAATGGCATTTAGAATTAGGCAATACTTCATGTCGCGTTTTCGAAACCCTCTGCGTGCATTCACTAATTTTGTTTTTTAAATACAGCATTCACCCAAACTTTTTACCATTGCAGCACTGCCTGCGCTGAAGTTACGGATCAATTGGAAGCCCAAAATACAATTAGGTATACATCTAAATGCCCAATAACATTTTTTTGAAATAAATTACTCTAATAACCAAAATAAAGAATCATCAATCGTAATATAAACAACTCAAGCCTTATGAACGTAAAATAAACCATTCAAGTACGATTTTTTTCGATTTGCCTCGTTTTGAAAAGTTTTGTGTGACTAATATTCATTTACCTTTTTTTTACTGAATCACAACTATACATTTTAACTCTATTCGCACTTTCTTAATAAGTGTGTTAAGTCAAATTAAACTGAGAAGCATTTTTTGGGACGGAGGGAATAATTATAATATTATATGTGTGCATACACTGACCTTTGATGCCTAGGTCCGCCCCTGTTTGAGGTAATCACTTATGTAGGACGGAACGTAAAACATCCGTGTGTTGAAGATTAGTATTGTGATTCAAGTTTGTCTAGGTCTTATTTATTATTTATTATTAAGTTTTAATTATTATAGGCCCTTTATAGTACTTATCTTTATATAATAAATAGTCTAGAAAAGGAATTGGGACCAAATATGTTAGGCTCATATTCCTATGCTTAGAACTTTTACGGAAACCTACACCTGCGCCTATAAATATGCGCGTATGGTGTGCAGGTCCGAATAATCAGCAATATAGCATCAGCGTAATCCTTTCACACTCTATATAAGTTTCTCGATATCTAATAGAAGCAGAATTCTCTATTCCGATACATTCATACCATTCTCATAATTTATGTTTTCTATGTATCAATGAATCCATTCTGCTGATCGATCATTATCTCATACACATTTGGGGCCAACAACTGGTATTAGAGCCGAACGAGTAAAGATCATCTGCGAAGAATCGACATTGGATTAGCGAATGAAGATGAGGTGCAAAGATTGGATTAGCGAATGAAGATAGGGTGCAAAGATTGGATTAGCGAATGAAGATGGGGTACAAAGATTGGATGAGGTGCAAAGATCATCCGGGACGCTCTTGGCCGAAGGCCGCCACATGGATGTCATTCTGGTGTCTTTGACCTTCTGAGTATGTGGGCCATGGGGTCTAGGCCCATATAATCTA